TTTACAAATCAATTATCCAATGAAAATTAACTATGAAAAGTCATGTGATATGTTAAAATTCATATCACAACAATATAAAAATAAAGAAGCAAATTAATTTGATTATCATTGAGTTATATGATATTACATTAATTTTCTTTTGTAATATATTTTAATTTTTATTGATCAATAATTAAATAATTATGAAATTTTTGATGAGAATCATAACAATATTCAATAATTTAATTCTTGATATTCAGTAATTTGATTTGAACAAAAATACTACTGTTTAATTCATCTCAACTAGATGAATTAAATAGTAGTATTTTTGTTCAAATCAGATAACTAAATATTGAAATATTATATCTTAAAGTAGCAAATTCATTTTTTTAATATAACAAAAATAAATTAATTAATTTAGAATGTAATATTTTGATCTTCTGTAATCTGAGTCAAATAAAAATAATTTATCTTGAATAAATGAATCAAATAATATTATTTTATTCAAATAGAATTACTAAAAATTGAAATACATATATATATCACATTTGATTCATTTTTAGATGATCAATTTCTAATAAAAAATTGATCAGTGAATTATGAATCAGTCACTTTAGTATGCAATATTTTGACATTTAATAATCCAATTTGAGTGAAAATATCATAATTTGATTTGTCTAGATTAGACAAATCAAATAGTAATAATTTCACTCAAATCGAATCACTGAATGTTGAGATATTATGTCCTAAAATAACTGATTTATTGTATTTGGAGTATGCAAGTTTATAAACATGCAATACCTAATATAGAATCTATCAATCAATAAAAATTATCAGTGTTTGTGATATACATGTATTATGCAATAAAATTTCAGGGATCAATCAAAAATTATCAGTACAGAGATACTTTTGTCAGGCACTGTACATGTACATGTAATAAATAAAAATCAATCTAATTGTAACAATTTCAATATTAACCAACACATCCAGAATCTTAACCCTAACCCTAACTCAGGTCTTAATTAGCCAATTAAATTGCAGTTTTTACAAGTAACAGTTGTTACAAATACATTTATTCAATAAATAACACAAATAAATCTTACATATCCAAATCAAAAGTACTCGTATAAAGTTGTCCAGTTTTCTTATTTTTTGCAGTTGCCTCAATCTCCATTTTTCCAAAAGTCAATGTATACTCAATTGGTCGATTAGTACCAAGATGAACATCTGGTAAATCAATCTTCAATGTGCCCAGTAAACGAACACCAGTCTCGTTGCAATAACGAACTCGGTCATTACGTGTCTGGAATAATTTCAATGTGGCAGAGGTCTGCTTAGGAAACACAGGGAAAAATTCGCGTGTGACTTTTGCGTTGACATCAACTAGTGTACCGCGTTTTATTAATGGATTGAATCGGTAAACGAGTCCTTCCTTGGTTATTCGTTTCTTTTTGTCGAATCCGGGTTTGAATTCGTTGAGGATTTCGATTCCGTATGTATATATTAACCTACGGCTTTGTACTATGTTCATGTTGAGCCCTAAACAATACAGGAGAAAAAACAATTACATTATTATTTTTGATCCAAAAACAGCATCAATTCTGAAGCTATTACCATAAAATACTGCCCCACGGACAACAGCAGCAATCGGACAAGGTGGAACAGCGATCGTCTTGATCTTATCATTAAACAATTCTTTAATATTTTTTACTAGATAAAGCGACTCACTGAATCCGCCAACAAGAAAAAGAGCATCACATTCTCGATTTGCCTCTTCCAATTGCCATTCAATCAAACCGATAATCCGCTGCACCACAGGATCAAACATCTCTTTCACATCATCAAACGTGATTTCAATCAGCCAATCAGCTTCCTCCATCTTTGCTTTCTTTTCTTTGTCCACAACATAATCTTGCACAGCTGGACAATAATATGGGACATCAAGTTCGATTGTGCGAAATGACGCACGCTCGCCGTCGAAAAGAAATTTGATACGTGAGCAGAAAAATCTTTGAATTAGATACTGCACTTGTTTGTAATTGTCTTTTTTCAGTTTTTCGATAACGCCATAACCAAGTTTTCTTCCTAAGAATCTTAAGAATTCGCGATCGACAAATGTTGCGCCGCATAGGTCGCCGGATCGTTCAGTGATTTCGCTTAGTTTATTATTTTCTAGCAGTTGTCTTATGGTTATGTCAACTGTACCCCCACCACAATCGACAACCATGAAGTTTGCTGAATATTTATATACGCGCGTTATTTAATATTTATAGTATAGCAATGAAGAATTTAATTAAAAAACAAAATGAAACTACCTCCTGGTTTTAGATTATGTTCCTTTAAAACAGACATACAGTGGATAGCAGCAGCTTCAGCTATTTGTTAGATACACAATAATCAATAGAAATCTTGAATTCTCATCGAAATCGAATTTAAAAATTAATTCCAGTAACATACGTTCTGTTGTAATGTCTAAATTTCTTGATTTGACATGATTCAATAATCCAGCATTATATGCTGCATTTCGTAATACATTTCTTGTATTTTCTATTATAAATATTAAATGAAGAACTGGTTAAACGTTAAGAATTGCAAAAAAAAAAAAAGAATAAACTTCCTCTACCATTCCATTCTGCGGGTACAGTCAAAATCAATTTAATTTGTCGCGGAAATTCTAATGATGGCCAACGAGTTTGCACTTTTTCCTTAATCAACTAATCGATATCGATATCAATTAATACAAAAATGATAGGAAAGCAAAGTTTGAGTTTACGACTCAATACCTTTTGCATTTCTGTTAAATAATCAGTTATCGCTTTCACATGATTCAATCCCACAGGAAGCCAAGGCTTTTCACCAGCTTTCAAAGAAGACAAATGCAACTTAAACAATTCCACTGGATGTGACTCTTTATTAGGCCGACTTTTTCTTACGGGTTCTTCAACGAGAGCTAATTGACCCCATTGCAATACATTAAAATTCTCGTCATATTGCAAAACAGTAGGATTCTTCAATTGGCCGTCTCGACCAGGCCTTACCAAAATATCATTTTATTATTTTATACTATTTATTTAAAATTTAACTTTCAATTTTACTTACCAATTATTATTTGTCTCAATCTCTGGATTCTGTGTATTTGCGTAAGCAAAAGTACTAAAAGTAACACCGAAATCTTGATAGGAAGAAACAATATGTTTATAATGAATTCGCATTAACTAGTAAAAAGCATAAATTACCGAGTGCAACAACAACTCGAATGTCTGTGTCTGTTAACGCTATTCCTGACGCCATATTCATTAACAAGTTCGTATAGACACGGAAGGTATATAGTTGCTAATAGGAAAAATCTTGACTTGCTTTTAAACAAAATCCAAAAACCAGAATTAATTCTTGTTTTACGAAAAAGTCGATTCTTGTTTTTCGTGGAAGACAATTCTTCTATACGAACACGGAATGATTTTAAACAAACTCCAATGTTGTGAAAAGGTACACAAAAATCCAAAACAGTAATTAATTCTTGTTTGCGAACAATAACAACTGAATGTTTCTAACGCTAAACAAATCATTCTTCTATACGAATACGGAATGATTTTAAACAAACTCCAATGTTGTATTAGAAAAGGTACACAAAAATCCAAAACAGTAATTAATTCTTGTTTTACGAATAATAACTAACGCTAAACAAATTTTTCTAAGGGCGTTTCTATAAAAAGGAGCAAAACACAAAATGAATATTAAATGGAGTCTATCAGCCAAATGCAACACACAAAAACACAAACCTTATTGAATAGATTTATAGAATAATATAACCATAACGATAATCGTTCTTATATAAAGAAACTATATTTTAAAAAACAAATTTATTCTTTCTTCAACTACTGCGCAATGACACAAACTGATCCTCCTCTTAACAATTCAATTCAACCTCATCAGAATGAAGAAGTTGAAGATGTTTTGTCTCCTAGTGTTGAAGAAAACAGACCAGATTTCTGTGAAAGAAATGAAGTTGATAATAGAGACGTAAATACAAGTTCCAGAAAGTCACAGGACAATAATCGTAAAAATCGCATTATCGTTATTTCTGATACAATTGATAAAATTGGAAATGCACGATGGAATGATGCTGTATTATTATTCATTCTTATCATGGATGTCTGTAAATCTGTTAACTTTGCTCAAACAAATACCATATTAGAAGCTCTCAAAGAATACTATCGAGTGATTGGAAATAAAACGTGCATAGAATATAAAGGGATTCTATCAAATTATAAAGATGCAAGATATCTTAAAGATGAATCTGAGCGTGAAAAAATCAAGGAATTTGTTTTGGAAAATTTACGAATCGGTGAATCAAACGATTGGAATTCATTCCAGGATCTATTACGTACGTTAACAGACGAGGAACAATTTAAGTTGCGTTGGATATGTGTTGATAAAATCACCAGGTTTCTTACACTCTCCCTTGATATCAAAAAAAAATTTCCTGACTATTGGAATATTTGGATAAATAACAACGATAATAGTATTGCTTCTAACACAACGCCAGAAAGTCGCAAGCTTGCTGATAATGCAACAGAAGATAACTCTCGAATCAATCGAGCACTGCAAACCAAATCTATAGTAGAAGCAAAAAAAAAACTCACGAATGCAGAATTAAAAATCGAGGATCTTGAAAAACAACTCAGAGTTTTCAAGAAAGAAGCATCAGAACATCAAGCAGCACTAGGCAAAATTACGAAGGTTGATTGGAATGACGATGATCCAAACAATTCGGTGCCACTTTCAAAAGATATCGAAAACTTGCAGGACTTATTGAAAGATTTCACCATCGTAAGGGGCAACAAATTCGACAATACGAATGCGGAAAATCTTTTGCATGAGTTCGGGTGCAATACGAATGTGTCACATCGCAACTTTAAATCGGCAACGAGCGCAGCATTGCAACGACACATAATTGAAATGATACTAAATGGAATCAAAACCTATCTCGATCAAGAATTTTCGGATGATGAGCAGAAACTAGAAGTTAATATAGCTTCTAAAACCAAAGAATTGTGCACTCTTATTAAAAGGTTTGCGGAAAAACGTCCGGGAGACGATAAGTTCACTCCAATGGCTCCAACTAAACTCCGGCAACAAGTGAACGCAATTCTTGGATCACGTGCATTCTCAATTAGCTTGCATCCATTCATTGAAAAGCTCACAAGCGATGTACTTGAGTTTATGAACAAATTTCGACAAGTGAAGTCAGAAGAATTGAGTAAAGAATTACCCGATCGCGCAGCTCAAGTTATCCGAGAGACCATTTGTTTGTTGGAATTTCGATTAAAAACTCAGCCACAAGTGCCTACTATAAAATTTTATGAGGTTGGTACATCTTTGAACCCTTCACTAATGGAAGGGCGGTCGTGGCGCAGTACAGATAGTGTTGTTGATATTTGTTACTTCCCGATTATTGGTATGAATCTTGATAAGCCAGATCCACAGGTTCTTTGTAAAGCTTTAGTGTTGGCACGATAAACTCAACTGTTTGGGTAACAAGATTATTAAATTCAAATTTTAGGAGATACATGTAGATTTATAGCAATTTAATCAGATAACTTATATTTTCAATAACAAAATGTTGTAGCAATCATTTTTCTCAATAAATCTTTTAATAATGGAATGGAAATTTTCAAAAAAATAAAGACAAAACTCATACCAATATCAGATATTATTTGAAATGAAATACAATAAATGTGAACTAAGTTTATTCAATTAGTCATCGCCCTCGTCATCAAATGCAGACTTTGGACGTGCGATAACTCTAGCCTTAGTAAACACTCGTCGATCTTTGGATCCCAGATTAACTCCAATCACAGGGAAGTAACAAATTTCCACTTCAGATTTTTGAACATTTTCCCAAGTACCTTCCATTAATTCAGAATCCAACGCGCAACCAGCGGAAAAGAATTGAAATTCGGGAACAATCGGTTGAGCTTTAAGTCGAAAGAAGAATAAATGAATCACTTCAAGAATCAGATCGCTCGCCTCTTTCGATAATTCTTGTTTCTTTTGTTCGTCAACCAGCTCACGATAGAAATCCATAATCGAGATGATTTTCTCGGCGAGGTGACGGATAAATGGATGTGTAACGTCATTAAATGCTCGAGATCCAAGTGCTGCGTATACATGTTGTCGTAATTTTATTGGTGCAATCGGTGTAAAATTATCAGATCCAGTTCGAACTTCCGAGAATCTAGTCATTAGTCTGATTAAATCCTTGGTGATCGAGATAATATCTACTTCGAGGTTATTGTGATAGTTGCTATCATAAGACTGATTTAATGCTAGCTCAGATGGTTCCTGCACTAAAAAACCGGAACCACTAACCCATTCTTCTTCTGCGTCAATCCATTCTTGTGCATCTTTATCTTTGTTGTTATTGTTATTATTTGTTGTTGAAGAGTACGAAGAAGAAGAAGAGGATGATCTATTAGTTTTGGACAAATAAATTCTGACATTATGTATAATTGTTTCAAGTATTTTAAGTTGTAATGCCGCATTAAGCAGTAATTTGCCACCACGTTTATCGGTAATTTCAGTCTTGCATTTATAACTAGCGAGAAGTTGACTTGCAGCATCCTCTCGAATTCTCACTCCACTTCCTTTTACTTTAGTGAAGCTTCCAAGTAAATGCACTAACTTCTCGATATCGTCACCCATATTCACCGCGTTATTTGGGTCATCATCACGCCATCGAACATTGATAGCATTCCCGAGAGCAGCTTGATAATTTGATGCTTCTTCTTTGTAGCGGGCTGCCTGATCTTGTAATACGTCGACTTTCTCGTCTGATTGTGAGAGTAATTCCGTTAATTTTTTGTTTTTCTTTTGAAGCTCGAGAATTTGATTCTTTAAGTCTGTTACTTCTAATCGATCGGAAGATAAACGACGAGTTTGCTGTTGTTGTTGCTGTAGCTGTTGTTGTTGTTGCTGTTGTTGTTTGGTGATTCTGTCTTTTGCTGGTGATGACCCCCCATCTCCATCTCCACCATCATGATCATTACTGCTAATTCTAGTGGGTGTAGTGGTAACCGCAACACTGCCACTATGGTCATTTGTTTCATTACTAATATTCTCGTTATCATTTGGTAATTGCTGGCGTTCCAAAGCACAGCGTTGTACATGCCCAGAAAAGATAGCAAATGATTGGATTCTTCTAATAAGCAAATGACGTATCCTGGCACGTTGATCACTCGATAGTCGATGCAGTTGCTCACGAAGCAGCGCTCCTTCATTATAACTGTCAGCAGATGTAAGACCAATCTGCGAATACGCGTACTCTAAAGTCGGTTTTCTCAAATCTTCTTCATGATTTCGAAAAAATTTCGCGAATTTCTCCAACGAGTTCATCGCCAAATTGAACTGATTCTGGGTTGCCCCGTCAGTCGTATATAATTCACGCAGGTGTTCTGTCACTTTATCATATTCTTGTCCGAATTTATGCCCACCGCGAAAATCACTTCTCTTGTCGGAATCCCACACGATTAGGAGCAGGTAAACGTAGTTGGTCCAACGACTTCTGATTCCCACCCACTCTAATAAATCAAATAAGTCATCGTGTGATAGACTGTTGCTTCTTTTGAGCCCACCGAAATTTGAGAACGAAAAGTTTTTTTGATTATTACCAGTACCGTATTGACTCATATTTTACCTTGATAAACACGCAGTATTTTTTGTAGAAGCCGTGAAGGGACAAAGGTGTTTTTTTAAAAAATCATATCTTTTTTTTGTGCTAAATAATCAACCGGAAATAGCAATTAATTACGCTCCTTGCTATTTTGCGTTCCTCAGACACTAACACAATTTCCTTTCTTATCAAACAATGAATTAACTATTAAAACAGGTTAAGATTCAAACTGTTGATTTTGATATACATATAAAAGAGTGAGTGTGTGGATGTTTGCAGAGTGCAAAAAAATGTCTGACCACGATATACGCGCTGTTGTGGCCATTGGTGAGCGAACAAATTAAATTCACGACAGCTTACTTTTATTTTATTTTTATTTTATTTTTATTTTCTTATCACCTTTCTAAATATATTCTTTTACCGCAAGACTTTGGAACAACGTTCAGTAAGTGAAACTAATTACTGTGTAATAAAAAGGGCTATCAAATAGTGTGACTCAAATAATGTAAATCATGAATGAATAACAGGTGGTTTTGCCTTCGCTCATAAGGCAAGTTCTGAGATAGAAACGAATAACAGATGGTATGCTTTTTTGATTATTTTTTTATCCAATAGCGTATAATAATAACGTTCTTATTAATAGGATCGGACGTGAAGGTTTGCCAAAAACCAATACTGCTCTTCGTTACGACTCAAACGTAATTAATTTTGCTATGTGCATCGATCATGAAAGTTGGAATTGTTAATAACACAAATTGCCGCTTAAATTAGCTTGAAGTGACAGCATGGGGTGAGCCTGCGCTCGTCGATGGACCAGAAAAGAAAAAGAAGTCGAAAGACGCCCAACAAATATATACCGTAGAAATGTTCAAATTGCATCTCACCGAAATGTCGAAAAAATCAAAGCCGCCGTTACCGCCAAACATGTCATTCAAAAAACCCATCAAGGATTATTTGTTTGAGATGGACAAGGTTAATAAATAATAATGTATCGGATCATCTTATTTTGCCATATACTGATCTCGTTTTTTGGATGTTGGGGGGTGGACATGTATAGCTGATTCAAGAAACGATCGAGAAAACTTGGCCTGGTATGAGGAAGGAACAAGTTTTATATGTGATGACGATACCAGCTGAATGGTTTGTATTTTTTTTATACCTGTTTATATTGATTCGTCAAGTCTAAAGGTTTTTTTTTCACCGATTTGTGGGATTAATAGGCGTGAATTTACTAAAGGTGTTATGCGAGAATGTGCTCATGAAGCTGGGATTATTGCTTCTGTTGAATCGGAGAACTTGGAATTCACGAGTGAACGTATGTCAAAATTAATAAAGATTTTTTTATTATGTGTTGAATTGGATTTTGATATATAAATGTTCTGATTGTAGCTGAAGCTGCAGCAATGCATTGCTTAAAAGTGATCGAAGAACATAACTTACAGACAGGAGGTAATAAATTATCCGATTGATATTTGTCTTGGAATAAACTTGTACTAATAGATTAAACCATTTTAACATCAAAAGACTCATTCCTTGTTGTTGACTGTGGCGGGGGCACCGTTGATTTAACAACCAGAAAACTCCGCGGTGATGGCACACTAGACGAGATAACTGAGCGAACTGGCGATTTATGCGGCTCGACATTTGTCGACCGTGAATTCTTGAAATGGCTCGGTAAGAAATTAGGCGAATCAGCAATGGAGAACGTGAAAAACAATCACTATGGAAACCTTCAATACCTCATCCAAAAGTTCTTTTGCCCGCGCGTCAAATTCCTATTTGACGGTGATCCGTCAAATTTCAAAAACATCGATGTCGACATTGAACATTGGTGTCCGGCCCTCTTGAAATACGTCACGGGCGACGCACGAGAGCAAATGGAAGAAGAGGATTGGTTGATCGAGCTTGATTTCAATGCGGTGAAAGCAATGTTCGATCCGGTCGTGAAAAAAGTTTTGAAATTGATTACGGACCAATTGAAAGCTGCGGCGCCTAGTCAACGTCCTTCGGCCATGTTTCTCGTTGGTGGGTTCTCGGAGTCTAAATATCTGCGAAAAAGAATTAAGGAAGAGTTTTTGAATCAGGTCCCGATCATTGCTGAGCCACGTCAGCCGATGGCTGCTGTTGTTAAAGGTGCTGTTGCTTATGGTCTGAAAATGGAGACCGTCAATACTAGGGTATTGAAATGGAGTTATGGTATCGAGATATTGGCAAAATGGCAAGCGGGAGTTGATCCGAAAAAGCGCCGGTAAATCTATTATTACACATTATTCTCATTTCTTTATAGTAAGTAACACTTTTTTCTTTCATCATTTATTGTTTTTATAGAACCCCCGATGGTCGTATTTATAGATTTAATCGGTTAGCCGAAAGAAAAAAACCAGTTGAAGTTAATAAAGAATTTACTGGCGAGTTTAAACCTGTATATCCGAACCAGACATCAGTCATTTTCAAAGTATACTACACAAAACGAAATTGGGTGCGATTTTGTGATGATCCAGGCGTCAGATTTCTGGGTGACTTAAAAATTGGCAAGTGATAATCTTAATTTTTAATAACTACTTGTTAGTGTAATAACATTACATGAAACCCTTGTTTTCTAGATTTACCTGATGTACATTTAGGGATCAATCGGCCAATTGAATTTGGGCTGACCTTCGGCAAGATGGAATTGAAAGCGACAGCCTGTAATAAAACTACCGGCCAAGTGTATCAGACGTCATGGAGGTTACGTAATTTCGCAACATGAAGGAATTAATCGATTCGGAGATCAGAAAGTCATTCTCTGATTCTTTATAGTTTCATCTTTGTTTATTATTCTTAGTGTGAAAGAAAGATCTATTAGTGGTACATTCATGTGAGAATGTATGAGGGTGGTGGTGGATTTTTTCATCTTATTCCTTCTTTCTCTTTCGTTGCGATGCATCTTCACTTTTCTTTTTCTTCTCTTATATTACTTACTATTTATCATGTATGTATTATACTACGCGCCATTCTGGGGTGGTCTGGATTCTTGAATGCATGTGGCGGCGGTCATTTCCACATATCCCAAAAGTGGCTGTCATTTTAAAAATGGCATACATGTCGATTATTGTATTATTGATCACTGATCTTATTATTTATCGACATCCGGCATATAAGTCATGGTTTTCGTAAATTCCGACTTTTTATCGTTATCGTTATTAATAAAATAACTTTATTGGCTCATAAACAGATGTGTACGTAGGCTGATCAGTAAATACATGTATTTATAACCAGAATTAGAATGACGGTTTTGGCCAGAATTATCCTGGGCCAGTCGACCAAGTCGAAACAATGCAAGTGTAACAATTAACTCGAACTGTATGGGGTGCTACAAATATTAATGCAATTATCCCCATTCTCATATGTCGTCGAATTTGCTTTAGAAGTTAAATCAACATATTGATATTTCGCGAAAAAAACCAAAGAACACAATACAAAAATTTTTTAAATATATATTTCGATGAAACATGAACAGGAGTAATGAAAACAATAATAGCCAGATTGTCACTTCATCTTCAACTTCAACCGATTTGATCCAAATCGAGAATAATAACAAAAATAATAAGGAAAATGACGATGCCTCAAAGGAAAGGATAATATTGAACGTTGGCGGTATTAAGGTAGAAATCCGATAACATATACCGAAATATCCATTCGTTATTTGCCATAAATATTGTTAATGGACATATTCTTTTAATCAATAATTTAGTATGAAACATATCGAACAACATTAACACGCTATCCGGACACTCGTCTTGGATTACTTTTTGATGAGAACAATAAGAATTTCAATCGCCCGACGAGTGGAAATGACGAGTATTTTATTGACCGTGATGGACACATGTTTCGTTATATTCTACAGTTTTATCGAACCGAGAAGATGCCGTTACCTGAAGATGGTAAGCTAAAGAATTTCTTTCTTTATATCATGAGAAAATAACTCAATTGCTTTAAATTCAATTTTGTATAGCAAAAGGACTTATTTCAGTCTCACGTGAAGACCTGGAAGCCGAACTAGATTATTTTATGATTCCACGACACCTCGCATTTCCGCCCTCGCCAATAACAACGACAACTGCCAAACCATCCCTAACCTTCCGTCGAAAAATGATAGCCGACGACATCGACAAATTCGTATCCTCGCTAAAACTAATAATCATGGAAGTTGCGAAACAGTTTCGTCGTGAATTTCTGTTGAACCCCGACTTTGAAATGTGTATAGAAATGACATTTCGTGAGGACGCCAAAATCACCGATCTGAATATCACCCCGAATACCGGAATCAAATCACAAATCAAATCGATTATCGAACCACACTCGAATGTCGCGTTTCTGATCTTGGATAAATTTGGCCAGGAGATTGGTCGACACTTGGAAACGGTCATTGCGGGATTCACGTGGTCATCCGAAGAAAAAGAGGACAGCGGGTGGTGGAATTTTAGTGCAGATACTGGTGTCCACGGGTCAGCTGCTACGAAAAGGTTTTGTGTCAGGATGAAGTTGAAAGACACTGGATTTGATCATGATGATATTGTAAAGAATTCTTGTTTAGCTAGTATTTCTTGTGTATAGCTTATTATTTATTTTTATGTTGAACATTAGATGAAAAATTTATTGCATGTCACAAAGTATTTAAATCACGCACGTACTATAAATTAAAGGTTTTGTTTTCATTATTTCTTGTTTCATATTTTTTAATTACTCAAATCAATATTCTTCCTAATGTTATGAGTTTTTCACTAATTGGGAATTAGCTTACAAACATGAACAAGGATTGACAAAAGTGTAAAGTTATAAGAAAGAGGGATATTATAATAAATAAAGAGATAAATAATATTTAAAGCTTTTATACTAGTATTGAATATTTTAGAGCTATCAAATATAATTAATGATAACAAAGACTCTTTCACTTTGTTTTTCTTACAAGAAAAATATTATGTCTTCAACAAGTAAAAAATATCAATAATACATATTATGTCTTCAACAAGTAAAAAATATCAATAATACAATTATAATGAAAATATCAAATAACTAGTTAATAACAAAAATATTTATTAAATTTCTTGAATTCAAATTCTTTTATTTAGTATAAAATAATTATCAAATTTTGTTAGATACAAAAAGATATAAAACTACTTGTATATAAGTATTATTACAAATAGAATTTCATAATTCTATAATTTTATACTTTTATAATTTCATTAATAATTCCTTAATTTATTTTAAATTCTTAATGCTTTAATAAAAGTATTTTCAATATTTTATAAATATTATAATTATAATATTTACTTGATTTATCTAAAATAATTTACCTATTATCTATATTATATTATTATATTTACTTTAAATATAATATCAATTAGTGAAAAATATTTATTATAAATAAAACACAATCGAGACTTTGAAAAAATTATCAATTAATTAATACAAAATTTATAAATATCTAGTTAATTAATAAATTACTTCTTGTTTATTGTTTAATAAAATTGTATATTAATTAATTATTAGATATTAACAAAATAATAATTATATATATTACTGTATTATTGGACTTTTAATCAAATTGCTAAAGAATAATAAGTATTATATTGCTTTAGAACTATTTACATATTAAGTAAATAATTAAATTTATTAATAATAGTAATATTTTATCTATTAATAAATGAAATTATATAGCATATTGTTATTATTATAATATATTATATATTATTTAGCTATTTGTTGACATGCTAGAGCAAATAATTAATTAAGTGAACATAGTGTCATTATCATAAGGAGTTCAACATTTATATATAATAATGATATTTCTTTCATATAATGATAATATTTGACAAAGAACAATAATTATTATAAATATAATTGGTTTTTATTTAAGATATTTTAATTGATTCTTTATTATAAATTAGATTTATATCATAATATATACTTAATATAAATTAGTTTATTAAGATTTAGCATGTATTTTATTTTTATATTTTAATTGATTTTTCTTATATATTTAATTTTTCTTTGTGTGATATTGGTATTATCTTGTACTATATTAAATTTATTTTATATTTAATTAGTTTTATTATATAATATAATAGCAAAGAAGTACTAATAATATTTTAGTATTTTAGCATGTGTTGGTATCAGATTTAAATTAAAATTATAATAATTAAAAATATTTTTTAAAATTTATATAACTTTTAAATATTTATTCTAAATATTAATTATCTTATATTAATTTGTAGCTATAATTAAGATCTATAACTTTACTTAAAACTTTATCAAATATTACTTGAACTTGAATTAGATTTTAATTGGATTTAATTTTTTGAACTGAACTTTTAATCAGATTCAAGTTAAATTCAAGCTCAAACTGAATCAGACTCAAATTATATATATTAAAATTATATATAAAAAAATTTTTATTTTTGTTATAATAATTTATAAATTAATACAAAAATATAAATATGTTAAAAATCTTTTTAATTATAATTATAATTATAAATTTATTAATTAAAAATTTATATTTTTTTATATTAAACAAAGTATATTTTAACTAAATTATCTATATTATTTTTATTTTAATTATTTTTTTACTAAAATTTTAGATAAAACAAAATCTTTTGAATTTTTAAAAAAATATTTTTTTTTAATATTTTTTTACAAATATATAATTTTATAAATTTATATTAAGCAAGTATATTAATATATATTATTATTATATTTTATGAGTTTTTGAAAGAATTAAAAAGTTAATAATATTATAATAAGTTATTTAATCAGAGTAATTATAATAAAATTTATTAATTATTACAAGTAAAAAAGTATAATATGATCAAATTTATATAATATATTAAATATTAAATTAAGATTATAATGAATTTAAAGAAAGATAATAGTATTTTCATAATGTGATTAGTTAAAATAATTCTAGAATTTTTAATAATAATATTTAATTAAAGAATTTTATATAATAAATATGTAATTTTATTATAAAATCATAATTTAATAATAATAAAATATAATTTTATTATTAGATAAATTTATTATTAATTTATTATTTATTATTTTTGAAATTCTAAGAACTATGAAATTATTAGCTAAAATATATAAGTAATTGATAAATAAGAAGTAATTATTTGAAATAATTATTTGAAGTAATTACTTGAAATAATTACTTAAAGTAATTATTCAAAGTAATTATTATTTGTAATAATTATTTATAATAATTATCTTTATAAAATATTCAATTATAATAATATATAATAAATATATATTTTAAATTTTAGTAAGGAAGCTTTAAAATTTAAAAATTTAATTTTTTTACTATGATATTAAAAATTTATAATTGTTAATTATATAATAAAAAATAAAATATCTTTAAATTACTAAAACTTTTTATAAGAAAAAATTTTAAAAAAACTAAATTGATACTTTATAAAGTATATTTTGAATTACAAAGTTATTAATTTATTAGTTTTGAAATTATTTTGTATAAATTATAATATAATTTTGAAAATTTTTATTTTTTATCACATAATTAATAATTATAATTTTCAGTATCATATATAAATTTATAAAAAATAACTATATAAAAAATCAAAGTAATTAAATTGAAAAATTATTAATTAATAAATTTTTTATTTTTGTTTATATTTAATAAAAAATAATATAAATATTTTAATTATAATTTAAATACTATATTTGATAAAAAAAAATTAAAATTTTTTTATTAATAACAAAATAATATATTTATATTTTTGCATCAAATTATATTTGTTAATAAAATTTAAATGTTTATAAAGTTTTTTTTAATAATATATAAGTATTTAATTTATTTTTATAAATTTAACACTTGCAAATTAAAATAAATATAATTGAAATTATTTATAATTATGAAAATTACAAGAGAAAAATCTGCTAATTTATTTAAAAAAAATAATTTAAATAAAAATAATATATAAATTATTATAATATTATTAAAGAAATCATATTTAGCAAAAAAAATAAATGTCTTTTCAAAAAATATATTAATAACAAGTTTCTGATACTATAAAATGTGTTAAAAGTTATGAATAATTTGTAGATTTTAATTATATAAAAACAAAAAAACATGATGTTTATGATATATTAAAATTGTCAAAAAAAATGATCTTTGTCTTTTCACTAAGTATTTTAATTGACAGAATTTTCTTGAATGACAATATAATCAAAAATATTAATAGAAGATCTCAGCCAAAGATACTATTTGAGGAACTTAGTATTTATGATGTCCAGGTAATTCATATTATTCATATTTCAGCATTGATATATTGTTCAAGAACATAATAGAAAATGTCTTTTTACAGAATATGACAATACAAACATATCAATGCTTTGGAATTGTGCCAAAGATCATGAGTGATATGTTCCTCTTACTCGAATAAAAATAAAAGCAGATGGTGTGCACAATGTGCTGGTATCACTTCTTGTGTCTTGAAGCTTGCAAGAAAATTGTGCACAAGAGATGGAATATGTTTTTCTATTGAATACAGAAATCTTAATGCACCAATATAATGAATGTGCAATAAAGAACATAAATGGCTTGCGAGTTTTAATGGTATAAAGCATGCCAAAACATGGTGTCCACATTGGTTAAACAAACACAAAAATCTATGCCGTAACATCTTAAAAAATATCCTTGGCCCACCCTCTGATATCCGCCAACCAGATTTCTTGAAAACACCGAAGCGTCTCGGGGAGTTGGGGATTATATGAATAAATCAAGTTATTAGGTGTTTTAGCGTATATAACTACAAACACGATCAAAATGAATATAAGCAGTTTTTTTTATTAAAAATCCTAGTCTCGATATTATCATGTTTATTTTTAAACATTTACCATTATTCCTCCGTAAAAACACCTAACCTGTAGTTCATTCCCACAAAAATGTTCAGTAGATTCCTCCTGTGTTTTACTTGCTAGCAGTTTGAGTGGTGGCGGTGGCCCGAGCAGATTTTATGCAAAATACAAAAATATAGACTTGTCCCTTTTCATATGAAGTGGAATAATATAATAGACCATACCAAATGAAATCTCTTTGATTCTCTTTGACGGCTTTGACGAAGTATCCAAACATGTTGGCAAATATGCCCTTTGTCGTTTTCGTGATGGTGGTGGAGTCATATCGCAGGCATCCTGTAGACGTCGTAGTTGATCCTCTTCGTCACTATCGTCGGTTTGCTCAATCAACCGAATCGTACTGTCGACGATCTTCTGGTAGTATAAGTTTGTCAGACGCAGAGGACGGTAATTGAAAATCATATACAAGTACTTACTTTAGCCTTCCATGCCATAATAATTGCAGGAAGTGTCCTTTTTCCGAACTCCTTAATATGTGGTGCGATAGAAAGATTTTGTGCGCAACACAAGACATACATATCCGACTGGTGAGTCTAGGCGCAGAAGTGTCATCATAAGCCCTAGAAAATGCAATCAAAGTAAGCAACAAAAGGCAGGTGAAGGTATTGAGTGTTAGGTAAAAACATACCAGCATGGAGAAACCCGATCGTTTCCAATTTGCGGGTTTTACGTTCATCTGATCAAACATGTCCTTTATCATCTTCGGCATTTTCAAGCCCTTTGCCTCAACAATTTTGTACATTCTGCCCCTCAAACAGTCGACCCGCTTCCGCGCACCCAAACTCAATTGAGGTCACCTCTCCTCCCAAATATCTTCCTTTTCATATCTACTACCGCAGCCGCAGTTCTTTCACGATTTTTTCTTGCTGATGACGACAGGCTACACGATTCTCCCCTATTGTAAAAACGATTAGACCATGGAAAGAAGAGAGCCGATCAGAAGTTTCTCTTTCCTTACCTGACCGCTTCCATTCCCTCAATATCATTGAAAATTTTATCAGTTAAGTTCCAAACGTGGACAAGGAACCACAGCTCCAAATGGGTTGACACCAAAGCATTCGATTCATATTCTTGCAATCTGTGAAATGAGAGTGCGAACTTAGAATCCAAACTCTTGAAATGAAATTAGTTACGCACAAATTGTAAATTGTATTGCGTATCCAGTCTCAATAAAAATTATAAACTATAATTTAAGCTAAATTATAGTCAGAAATAAGAGCTACAAATTGATGAGTTTTATTTATGATAAAATTCAATTATAAATAAAGTTGTAGCTCAAGTTTAGAGCTATAAATTTATATATAATATTATACAGTGGCCCGCACCACTTGCATCGCTAATCGCTGATCACCTGATTTTAACTCACATGCAATCTACATATTATTATGAATCCACCAGGGCGACCCCCGAAAGTTCGGGCCACGTGATAATTCTTTGATGACGTCAACGATGGAATCCACCAGGGCGACCCCCGAAAGTTCGGGCCACGTGATAATTCTTTGATGACGTCAACGATGCGAAAAGTAGTACCCTAGCTACGGCAAAAAAAAGTGGCAGATCACGTGATTCTGACCTGATGCCGATCTGATCCGAATATTCTGTCCGTCACCGAATTGATGAACAAAAAAATTATATATATATATATTATAATAAGTACATGT